GACTGCGACGACGACGACGACGACGACGACCACGACGACGACGACGACGACGACGACGACGGCGACGACGGCGACGGCGACGACGGCGGCGATGACGACGATGCGAGCCGTCGCTTTGATTTTGATCCGAATGAAAATGTGTTGAACGGTTCTCGTTTTCAAGGTGCGGCGGGAACTTTACATTAACGTTGCGCGCGGCGCAGAGCGCGGTCTGGATCATAAGGTCCAGCGATCGCTTCACCTACATTGCACCACATAGATTGCACCACGTAAGTGGGCACCGAACGCGATGCATTACATATTTAGTGGCCTTCGGCACATCCCGCCACCCTGCCCGTGTTGCGGGTTAGAGGCCTCTTGGATGTTCGTTGGGATGTAGTGGGGGACCCCTCGGGTGCCTATTGGGGGCAGTTTGGAGGCCTCTTGGAGCGTTTGTGAGTATATTTGAGCTTATTCTTGGGCCTCTTGGGCGCCTCGTGGGGCCTCTTGTGCGCTCTTGAGGGCCTTTGGGGGCCTCCTGGGAGCCTCTTCGAGCGGACGGCTCGACGAGGAGGCCGAGGGAGAAATATTGATTACTACCAGTACTACCACGACTACTAAGTATTACTACCACGAGGAATCCATAGATGCTCTTGGGGGCCTCATGGCAAGCGCCGACACATAAATTGCACCACAGTGGTAGTTACTAATACTAAGTAGTAGTAGCACTTGTTATTCGTATAAGTACGACTACTAATGATTACTGAGTAGTAGTAGATGCTAAGTAGTAGTGGTAGTAAGTGCTACTACTACTACTACTACCAAGTACTAACACCACTAAGTACTACTACTATTTTCACTAGGAATTATTACTACTACTAAGTACTACTACTATGTAGCAGTAGCAGCTGCAAATATAGTAGTAAGTATTACTACCAATACTAGTATACTAACAACATGTATTCTTACATTTACACGGTGCATAGATTGTTAATGTAGGTCAACACATGTTCATGTGTTGTGTTATTCTGCATATATTGCATATATAGCTGCTGCGGATTGTGTTCCGAGATGCCTCGCACGAGGTGGTCCGCCCAGTTTCGCTTAAGACATCTTCGCAACTCCGGGCTGAGATATCCCTTGGTCTGAGGTGGTCGGGCCAGTCTCGCCTGAGAGATCCTCCCATCTATATAATTAATATTGGTCAACACATGTCAATATGGTATTTTCTTATGCATATATTGCGTATAAAGCTGCTGCGGATGACTCAAGATTTGAAATCTGCAGCTGTATATTTTCGTACGCCATGGCGTACGAATTTACTTACATTGAAGGCGGGGCCGCGATGGGGCCAATGCCGAACTTGCCTCCTTCCATCGCCTGGAACAAACTGGGCCAGCGTCAACAAGATCGCATTGATAACGGCGAGGATTCGGGGAGTGTTGAATGATTGAAGGCCTTATGATTTAAATTGTGCTTTCATAATAAGAATAAGTTTTAGCATTATCCCCTTCCGTGCGTTTGCCCAGAGGACAAGATCTGGATCCCATATAACTTCCAGTGCGCCTGGAAGAAATGGACCTTCCAGCGTTACGACGGCGATCGGGAAACGTTATACATACCATTGTGCCGATTTGTGCCGCTGCTCGGTCTGAGTTTAAGGCGGAGTTGCGTTCGTGCCTCCGCGGGCTGACCGAGGGGACACGTTCGCGCTTCCTGAAACCAGGAGAGCTCGGCCAAATCGGCGCAAGAGTAACTATAGCTGACGCCTCCTCAGGTCATATCATGCTGTACAAGCCTGCCGACGACGAACTGGAATGGATAGCAGTTCGCCATGTTCGCCAAGTGCAAGCGACTGCCGTCCTCGTAAGCTTTTGCCAGTATACGCACCAGCTCTCCATTCGGGTGACGGTCGAGCACACTCAGAATCTGATGCAGGACCTCGACCAGTACATCGCCAATTACTCCACCACGATCTTGTCCGTGAAGGCATATTTGTTAATCCAAGTTTTCAGAATGGAGGTAGACAGCAACAGATGAGAAGCCTCTTTCAATCGGCTGTCTGCCTGCATTCTTAAAACCTAGAAATAGAAATCTACTTCAGGCGTACATTCGGCACGCGCTTGCCCTGCCAGATCACCGGCCCATCGAGTTAAATATCAACCAGCAAGTGATCAGCAATTGCAAGCAGATAGCTCCTTGCTTCAATCTTAGTCGGAAGCGCCGCCGCTGAGCCGCCGTTGCCCTCCCTCTAGGCCCTGTGCTTTTCGAGTCTGCATATTGATCTCATTGCGCGCGCTGGCTGATGCAGCTGGCAAATATAAACTGGATAGGCTCCAGAAACCTCGCATAGCTTGAAGCAGTTAGGGTGTTGCGCATTACATTTGACAAGAAAAACAGAACATCGCATACCCCGTGCCACGCATGGTTGTCATTGTTGGATTAGCGATGACTTTGAGGTCGATTCCAGGTTTCTCGTTATACCCCAGTCACCAAACAATTTCGTTCGACCTACTTGGCCAGCTCAACCACCAATCTATGTAGAGCAGTGAGAGCTTCTGCCTTCGATCGATCGGGGCGAATTTGCAGCCGACCCTCTTAAGCAGCTACCAGGGCAAGACCTTACCTCCTCCATGTACTCGCCGGTCTCATCCAGGATCACAATGTCTGCGGCGTTGAGCTTTAAGGAGCTTCTTGGAGGCCTCTAGGTCGCGCCTCGGGAGGTTCTAGGGGGCTCTCGTGATCGTCTTGGGTGAGAGGCTCCAATTGTCATTTCGGATTGCCCTAGCCGGTTGTCTCAAACTGTCATCAGAGCTTAGCGCGGGAGAGCTTATCTCCCTTCTCGACTCGGGCCGCAGAGGGGCGGGCTGAGTGGGGGGCCGCGCCAGAGACGCGGGGGGGGGGGGGGCGGGTAGCGAGGCGCCGGCCGAGAAGGCGGAGGCCGATCGGCGCGGGTAGGAGGCCGAGAGACCGCCAGCGGCTTCGGTAGCCTCGCGGACTCTGCCGCCCCGCTCACTCGCAGGATTGCTGAATATTATCAGTAGACTTGCGTGGCTCAAGCAGGCTCGACGCCGCTTTCGCGCGCGCTCCATCCCAGGTTGCCCGACTCAGCTGCGGCCGCGATGTCGTCTCCGGTATTTGAGCACTCTGCCCGTGAGACGCACACTGCCCTGCACCGCTGGAACGCGCCCAATGTGCAGAAGTGGATGACTAAGTGGCAGCACGGCAATATTTCGTCACAGGACCTGCTGTTGCGGTTCGTCGCTGGACTCCCCAACGTGAAGCACCAGGAGGGCGATCAGCATGTCTTCAGAGAGCCAAAGGGCGGTTGGGTGGAACATATGGTGTTTGAGACGACCTTCCCCACGAAGGCAAGCTACAAGTCGTACTGGCACGGGACGACGTTCCACTGCCTCCCCAGCATTCTACAATATGGGCTTAAGAACTCCAGCGACACCCGCATCCACGAGTGCACAGACGTCGGCGTGTATGTGGCTGACACGCTCACGTGGGGCGGCGCCTTCTACCACGGCGTCGCCACGCGGTTCTCAGAGCACCCCGACTTCAGCATCCCGTACACCCGCATCGTTCTGAAGGTCGGATGCGATGGGCCTCCGAAGACCAGCCGTTCTTACGGGGAGTGCTACCAGCTTATCTTCGACGAAAAGCAGATCGTCGTCGAAGAGATTCACTTGTTTCGTGGCTATGGCTTCGCAAACAAGGGTGATAAGTACTTCGACTGCGTCGGCCCCCTGGCCAAGGCGCTGCCCGCGGCGGAGGCGTTCGCTCGGTGCTATTGCTGCGCTGACCGTGACGACACCATTTCTCCCCTGATCGTCCCCAAGGACAGTTTCGTGCCAGGTGCGATGCCGTGCCGCCTGGCTTATCCATGCCGATGCTGCGCCAAAGTGTCGGGTAATAAGTGAGATAGGCCGGCGCCGCGGCGGCGGCCGGCCCTTCCGCGGCCGCGTGAGTGGCTGGGCCGCGTCCTGACTGCAGCAGCTGCGCACGGCCGCGCGTGGAGCGCGCGGCGCGCCCCATGGGAGGGCGGGTTGACACGCGCAAGGGCTTGGATGGGAGCGGGAAATGAGGGGCGCGCGCTGGATTGCATCATTTAGAGGGGTGGCACTTTGTAGCAGTTGCGCAGCGCGCGCGGATCCTGTGGTTCAGGGCTGTTCGCTGCGCCCGAGCACCTCGCTGCAGCGATGCTTGGAACGCCTTGCCGGTCATTGCCGCTGGAAAAAGAATCGTCTCTTCATCTCTATCACCATCGACGTCCAGTGCTCTAATGCAGAGGTACTGCACCACTCGTGAGATTTGAAAAAAGAACGGCCCATAGCGTGGCCCTCGGCCATGGGTCGCCACCAGGACTAGCGGGCGCATAGCGTTTGACAAATTGTTTGCATCGCATAGATTACATTACTCAAACTGCGCCATCCATGTATCACATAGGGCGCCGCGCACGTATATTGCACCACGTGGATTGCGCCGCATAGTTTATACTATGTAGGTTCAACGCGCGATTTTGGGGAAGGCGTGGCGAAGGTATCGATTGCATTACTTAAACCGCGCCATCCATGCATCGCATAGGTTGCCGCGCACATATATTGCACGCGCGGATTGCGCCGCATAGATTGCACCGCGTAGATCCAACGCTTGGCGCACTCCCTTCAATAGGAAGCAGATCATCCGTCAGACCGCCTTCCGCTCGCAGCTTTGACGCATGACCCAGAAGGTACCTTTACAAATATTTCAGTTGTGGATATCTAAGAAGCAGCAACAGGCACATCTCCATCTCTATCATCATCGACGCCCAGAGCTCTAATGCACAGCTCCAGAGCCATTGTCTACAACCCGAGGCATCCCGACTCTTTGCCGTTTAGCTAGCTGCTCTCCCGCTCACGCAGCGCGCGGCCCCGATGGCGTCGGCCGCGGGGCATCCTCCTCCAGAGGGTGCGCGCATTCGCTCCGCCTCCGCGGCAGCCTCATCGGCTGGGCCGGCCCCCCCCGCGCTCTCTCAGTATTCGCGGGATCTCATGGGCAGCTTGGAGGGCATGCAGGTGCCGAACACGCAGGAGGCGGCCCAGCTGGCAGCTGCCGACGACGATATCATCGCCGACTGCGGTCGAGATGATGTGCGGGCGGCTGTGGAGAAGCGCAAGAGGATCCACGGCGCCGAGCAGTCGGATGCCATCTTCGCAGATATATTCCAGAAGGTCGACGCGAAGAAGGGCCGGCTCCGCCAGGTGCGCGCGGCGCCCGTGGCCACGAACACGGGGCTCGTCGCCGACGCCGAGAAGTACGCGGAGATCGTGGAGAGAGAGCGCCCCAACTGGAGCTCGGATCTCAAGCGCATCGGCCTCGCGGCCCTCTGCGTGTACCGCTCCCGCCCAGTGGACGTGGGGACCGTGCAGCACGTGCAAATGATCTGGATCATACTTGGTGGCCGCCTTCTCCGCGCCCACAACGGGCGGGCTTACTTCTACGATCAACGTCTCGGTTACTTCGACGTCTTCGACGGCCTCCTCCCGCCAGAGCTGCTCTTCGCGGCGTCTCGCTTCATGCTGACTCTGGAAGGAATATTCAGGGATTTCCCGTGCGGCGTGGAGCGAAAGGATTCCGCCGTGCTCGCGGCCATCGACAGCGCCGTGGAGAATGCGGTTGCGAAGATCAACGGAGACATATCTTACGCAGTTAAGGAGGCGGCCGCGCTCGTCTCGTTCCGCGACAACTGCGTCTTCAACAAGGGAAATGCGATCCTGCAAAAGGCCAAGGGCAAGGGCAAGGGCGTCGCGGCGCAGGCGCCCGATGGCGAGGGCGAGGGCGAGGGGCGGGGGCGCGGCGCTGAGGACGCCGAGGGCGACGACCTCACCAGGGCGTCCGACGCGTGGCACATCGCAGTCGCCCAGACTATCAGCAAGGTATCGACCAAATTACAGACGGAACTTCTCAGCAGCAAAATCATGTCGTACTTTATTGAATGGTGCTCTCAGGACACCATGCGATCTGCTGGCGTCGCCTACGAAGACTGCATCGTGAAGTACGATGTGCTGGGTAGTCCTGTGACATTTTCTTCTGAGCGATCACCTGAGAATTCGGTTTACATTGGCATCCGCTCGCAGCTCCTGTCCACCGACCCCGTGCTCGACGCGGCGGTGGCCCGCGTGCAGAAGATATATTCACAGACGTTCTGGTCCATTCCAGATGCTTTCGTGTTCGGGCAGGCGGCCCAGGCGCTCGCGAAGAGAGGCTACAACGTTGACACCATCACAGTGTACTGGGGACCTGGCGGCGTCGGCCTGAGTCTCCTTACGAGTCATTTGGAGGCGATGTATGGCCACAAGAATCACAAATATTTCGATCCCAATGTATTTTTCGTCGATGACGAGTTACGCAAAGTGGTCGAGCTGCTGGTCGACGGCTTTATCTTCACAGGTCAAGAACGACCCAGCGGACAACGCGGAACCATGCGGGAGGATTGCGGCTCTGGCGTCAAACGCACCGCGGCTGGCATATTGGTTACTCGCGCCCCGACAGCCGAAGGGCGCGCCGCCCGCGTCGTGCCCTTCAATGTCGGGGCGCGAGGGCCGCCGCCGCGTTGCCTTGGCGCCGAGCCGCCAGGACTTACTCAAGAAATTTGCCACAGCGGAGGGAGTTTCTGGAAGACTTCCCTATTCAATCTTGACCAAGATGTTTCGCATTGTGGGTTGGAAGAGACTCGAGGTCAACAAGTTCCTGGTGTTTGACGAGATCACAGAGCAGAACGTGGAGTCTTTGATGCGCAGGCTTGCCGTGGTGAAGATACAGGCGCGGTTTTTCGATCGCCTGTATGTTGAGGAGAACTTCGGTGACGCCGCGGCCGCCGGGATCTTCGCCCGTGACCCAGATGCGAAGGAGTTTCTCATGTCCTCCGTCGGCGTCGCCGCTGGGCATCGAGTGCAGTTCGCCTTCGAGGATGATCACGGCGCAGAGGCGTGTCGCGACATTATCGTTCGGTATGCGCGCTGTGGTGGCGATCGAGGAATCACGGAGAAGTCGCTGCGGCAGGCTTGTGGCCTCCTCGAGAAGACGTCGAACGTGGCTGGGTCCCTGCAGGCGGAGATCGACGCGCCCAACTCGCAGGGGCATGGGTGCACAGCCCCCAAGGAGTGGTTAGATTTCAGCATGGCTCTCATTCAAGAATGTCAAAAGAAAAACATGGACTTCCTTACGCTTCCAGCTTTCAAGGCGATGTCGCTGCCGACCAGTTGCAAGCTTCCTGCCCCTAAGCCGAAGGCCTTTCAGCGCCTGCAGACAGAGGGTCTATGGGTGGGCATTGGAACAGTGGGCAAGGCGGCCGATCGCATCGCGCCGCGCATACGCACCAAGAACGGCATGAGCGCGCTGATCGACGAGAGCTCGATGGGCGCGTGCAACTACCCAGAGGTCTACGACATGAAGTCCTTTCGGTCAGTATTCTTTGAGCACGGAGCTCGCAAAACTAACGCTGTGGTTCTGGCGGATGCACTGGGCAAAGGCATTCGGCGCCCCGGCCGACAGGCTGCCGAGAAGGCTGCGCGCGAGGCGGCGTGGTCGGAGAGGGCTGAATCAGTTCGACGCATGGAGTCTTTCATCGATACTTTGGCGAGCAGGGACAAGCGCGCCCAGGAAATCAAGAGGAGGCGCCTCACGGCCAAGGCTAGCGGCCCGAGCTCGCAGGGGGAGTCGGCTCATTTCGACGACGAGGTTTCGATTACGGTTTCCACGGGGTACCATCACAAGGTGGAGTGGCCGCCGCGAGCTTAAATTTTGACCTTGGATCGATCGTAGATCCTGCATCTTGTACGGACGGTGAATCGATCAGCATCGGGATCTCGGTCTGCGGTCCATAGTGGATCTCGAGTCGTCTGAGTGATCGTGAGGGAATATGAGAAGGGGGAGGGAGGCGGGCCCGATCAGTAAAATTGGCGCGCGCTCGGTGGATGCGGCTTCGCCTGAGGTCTCGCCTCTTCGTCGACGACTCTGTGGGCGCGCAGTCCATGGACCAGCGCTTGCAGAAGGTTTTGCTCACCAACACGTTCGATTTGGACATGGAGAACTTCTTGTTTTGCATCCTTCCGCAGATGTTGAAGCGGCTGAGCCTCCTGGACGAGAAGGTTTTCGCAGAAGAATTTGAAGTCCTTAATCGTCTGCAAAAGAATCGGCGCGAAGTTTGCGAGCAGGAACTCGGCGTGGGATTGTCTGTCGGCAAAGGGATTCTCTTGGAGGTCGCGTGCGGGGCATCCGTGCCCGCTGCTTTCAGAGGGAATGAGTTCCTTGCTGCCCTGTCCAGGGCGTCCAGGATGCTGAGGTGGCTCGCGGTTTCGCTGCTGCCTAAGGTGCACCTCGCGATGCAACAGCACGAGGGGAAATGGGCGGAGTCTTCTACATTTAGTTATCTATGGCAAGGCGTAGAGAACTACATACTGCAGCACGTGCTCAATTTCATTTGCGAGGAGCGCGTGAAGCACCTGTCCTTGCATTTCGACGGCGTGCGCGTGGACGTGGACCGCGTCGCCGTGACGGGGAGCTTGGGCGATTTCTGCTCGGGTTGCTCTGCGCGAGTTCACGCTGCCACCGGATACACCGTCACGCTGCGCAACAAGGAGCATTCCTATTTCTTCGACCTCCTGCGCGCGAAGAGCGCGGCAGTCGTTGATGAGGGCGGCCCACGCAGCAACGAAGACAACAAGCATCTGTTTCTACGGGGCAACTGCATACCCAGTGCGATCGCCGCACTGACTTCTCAGTGGGCGAAAGCGCGAGAGAATATTTCGGAGCCGCAGGACGAGGTTTTCAGGAAGTACCGCGACGTGGCAGAGCTGCTGGAGACGCCGCTCTTTCCGCGGGCGAGCCTCCTGGACTGCAAGGAAGGGCGCTACCTTCTTCACGCGGAGAACGGCGGGCTTCCGCATTGCATCGGCGCGGTGATCCAGAATGGGAGCGTCGTGATTTGCGAGGAGGGCGCTGCTCGTAAGATGAGTGTTTTTGATTTCGAGGAATGCTACGCCAGCGCGCTCGACATGAAGATGGTAGTGGCTTTCCGTCTGGGCGATAGCATTGATCCTGAGGAGAGCGCGCGGCTGGACGGGCTGCTGGATCTCCTGGCTGCTGGCCGATGGGACGATGACGGGCCGACTCCGCCGTCGAGGAAGCGACGTCGCCTCGCCTCCAGGGCGGCAAGAGCAGCGCGCGGCAGCCCTGTGTCATCGTCTTCGCCGTCCCCGACACCTTCAGCGCGCTCCGCGGCCCCCTCGAACATCAACTCCAGGCGCCACAATGAGAACCTCAATTTCATCGAGCTGCTGCGTGCGAAGGGTCTGGCAGTAGACGATTACGACAGCGGCGCGCCGAGCAGTGCGGGCGACCAGCTGCTTCGGCGCGGCAACTGCATACCCTGCGCGTTCGCAGCAGTGACTGGACAGTGGCAGAGCGTGCGAGAGAAGATTTCGGGGCAGCAGGTTGCAGATTTCAGGAAGTACCGCGACGTGGCAGAGCTGCTGGGCACGATATTCTTCCCGCGGGCGAGTCTCCAGGATTGCAAGGAGGGGCGCTACCTTCTTCACGCGGAACACGACGGGCTTCCGCACTGCGTTGGCGCGGTGTTCCAGCACGGGGAGGTCGTCATCTTCGAGAAAGGCAAGGCGCAGAAGATGAGCGTGTCCGCTTTCGAGGAGTGCTACGCCAGCGCGCTCGATATCAAGACGGTTGTGGCTTTCTGCCTGGATGAGGATGGCATCGACGATGGCGAGAGTTCGCGGCTGGACGGGCTGCTAGATCTACTGGCCGCTGGAGACGACGAGGGCAGCGAGGCCAGTTGCGACGGGGAGAGCTTCGACGGAGGCACTGTAGACGTACACTCTGAGCTACTGCGAGCGCTGAAGGCGGAGGTGGACGCCGCGAAAGCGGCCGTTCGTGGAGGCAGTCAGTCGCGTTGCATTCTCTGCCCCTTCAAAGAGTTTGACGAGAGCAGCCCCAAGGTGAAGCGGAACCTGCTGACGCACCTGTGTAATTACCATAACCCAGAGAGGAAGAGTCAACGAACTGGCGATCGGCAGATGGGCTTCGGTAACTACGTGGCGTCCGGCACGAAGCAGATGAAGATGGTCTTCGCGATGTTCGACTCCGATCGATGCCAGGGGAAAAGCCAAGGGCGGTATCTCGAACGCACTGCTCAGATGTTGCGAGAGAGCGTGAAGCCTGCGCTGGCCTGCCTCAGGATTGATCGCGACATCCGTCTCCTGTTGGACGGCGCTGGCCCGATATTCATCAACGCAGCCGCCATCATGTCCGAGCCGCCCGAGGGCCCGACGACGCTGGCGAGGCGCGTCGGAGATACGTACTACAGCCACGCGTTCGCAGAGATTATCTTCAAGGAGTTCATGCTGAACCACGGGCGCGCTCGGCCCACTCGCGCGCGCATCGTGGCGAGATGCGCGGAGGCGGGGTCGCAGCTGACGCACTTGCTCCCGCAGGAGGTCACCAAATGGTTGGAGCTGCTGGAAGATCTCCTCAGCGCGCCATTTGTTCGCGCTGCGCGCGATCAGCTCATGCAGCAGTTGCTCGATCACGACGAGTTCGTGCACGTGTCGATCGACGCCACCATCAGGGCGGCCATGCGCATCAAAGGGCAGGCGAATTACCGGGACTCTGCGGAGAAGAGAGCCGCCGCGCCTTTTGACGACACGGTTGCCAAGAGGCGCATCCTCACGGTGCGCGGCCGCACGGCGGCCGTCGCAGGCATGTGGCCGATCGCGTCTGAGGCCGCGCGGAACATCAAGGATATGCTTCAGATGCGTCTCCCACAAGCAGCTCTCGATCAGTGCCGCTCGATCGCGACTGACGACCCCTCTGGTGAGTTGTACGGCCAGTTGCTAGAGATCTGCAAGAATCTGACGTGGCTCAGCTTGGACCCAGTGCACCTAGCTATCGTTTACAACTCGGCTCACTGGAAAAAGCATTCGCAGTAGGCTTAGTTGTTGCCCGATGCCGATCGTGCCACCTCCATGATCGTTGTCGTCGTTCGAAGATTCCGATCGTCGATCGTTGGCATCTGCGGTCGCCATGACCGCCCAGTGAGACTGCGCCGAGGCCAGGGCAGACAGCGCTGCGCACGGTTCTGAACAAATTCAACAAGATTGATTATCAGGCTACCTCGGACGCGTGGGGCCCAGCTTATACAGGCGGACAATTGCAACCTCTGACCCCAGACCAGAACAGAAGTCGGGGCGCAGTGAAGAACGGCAGCATGCCCAGACGAGAGGCGCAGCGCCTCCTGGATAACCTGAATGGGGAAGAGCCTTTCAAGAACACCGATGATTTCGTCAGAGCCATGGCTGCTATTACATCAGTATATTGGGATGAGGCCACTTGCGCAGATGCTTTCCTTTCCCCGATCGCTCCCATTCGTTCGGTCGTTCGCCGTTTGTCAATGCCGCCGTCGGTCGCATGATCGAGATCTGCATATCGATGATCTCGTTTCCTCAGGTGAACCGGGGCACGGCGAGCGGGCGGCTCTTGGTAGATGTGCTCTGGTCGGCTACGTCGGTGGAGCGGGTGCAGTTCTTGTTCAACAACACGCGGATGCGCCACTCCCTACCCAAGAAGTACCAATCGCTGATTGGTTCTGGCACGTCGCCGAACGAGGCGTTGCACGCCGAGGTCAACAGGTGGTTCCGCAACCAGCCCGAGCTCTACCTTGAGACGCTGGAACTGCAGCTGGCGGCGGCCACCCACGCCAAGCTGATCGCGCACAACGCCGCCATGTACGCGCCAGCTCTGAGAGCGCTCACCTCGCAGACAGTGCTCGCGACTGCGATTGGCCGCCAGCTCGCATCCCCTGACGAATGGCAGCGCTTCTGCGCGGCGCAGGCATCGGGTGTTGGCGCGCCTGCGAAGGCGTGCCTGCCCAAGAGCGCCCAGCGGAAGGCTTCTCAGCCCTTGGCCAAGCAGTGGGCAAAGGATCGTAAGAACTTTAAGTCTATCGTTCGGAAGAGGCCCGCGGCAATGAAGGCTGCGCAGAAGAGGCCGGCGGCAATGAAGGGGGTCAAGCGCACTCCCTTCAATAGGAAGCGGGTCATCCGTTAGATCGCCTTCCGCTCGCAGCTTTGATGATGACCCAGTAGGTACCTGTACAAGCATTTCAGTTGTGGATATCTAAGATGTAGCAACAGGCCCAGCTGTTTAATGCGGTTGCGAGGGTTGTCTAGGGTCAGGCAAACGTTCAGACCTCGTGCCGCTTCTGGGGCGCTTCTCACGCGACATTTGAGAGTTTTGATTAGCATTCGTTCTTCAGATCTGACGGTGGAAAATATTTGCATGTCGAATTAACTAGCCAAGGCGCTTCCCGCCCCGCTCGGTCAGGTCAGCCTTGCAGCCCAGTTGTCCAGTCTAATCGTTCAGATCGCTCATGCCATTCGGCCAGCTCTCTCATGTCATTATCCCACAGCCAATTGACTGCAAAGGATCGTAAGGCATCGGGTGTTGGCGCTGCTCGGCAGACAGACACGCATACACTATTTAAATTATTTGAATTATTTCCGCCGAGGCGATATTCAAATAATTTAAATAATTCAAATCGTGATGGTTGATCAGCTTGCTGGGCTGCCTTCCAGCATATTTAAATAATTTAAATAATTTAAATAGTTCAAATAATTTAAATCGCTGCGGCTGGTTTAAATTATTTGAATCATTTAAATTATTTAAATTATTTAAATTATTTAAATTATCTAAATATGCTGGCAGCCTGCTCGGCAGATAGACACGCATACACTATTTAAACTATTTGAATTATTTCCGCCGAGGCGATATTCAAATAATTTAAATAATTCAAATCGTGATGGTCGGTCAGCTTGCTGGGCTGCCTCCCAGCATATTTAAATAATTTAAATAATTTAAATAGTTCAAATAATTTAAATCGCTGCGGCTGATTTAAATTATTTAAATTATTTAAATTATTTAAATTATTTAAATTATTTAAATATACTGACAGGCGGCTCGGCAATCAGACGCACCTACACTATTTAAATTATTCTAATAATTTCTATCGAGCGATATTCAAATAATTTAAATAATTCAAATTGTGAGGGCCTGTCAGCCTGCTGAGCCGTATCCCAGCATATTTAAATAATTAAAATAATTTAAATAATTTAAATAATTTAAATAATTTAAATCGCTGCGGCTGGTTTAAATTATTTGAATCATTTGAATTATTTAAATTATTTAAATTATTTAAATAATTTAAATAATTCAAATAATTAAAATAATTCAAATAATTTAAACCATCCAGCGCGATTTGAATTATTTAAACTATTTAAATTATTTAAATTATTTAAATTATTTAAATATGCTGGCAGGCGGCTCGGCTGACAGACACGCCTACGCTATTTAAATTATTTAAACTATTTCCGCCGATGCGATATTCAAATAATTATAATTATTCAGATCCTGAGGGTCTGTCAGCCTGCTGAGCCGCGTCCCAGCATATTTGAATAATTTAAATAATTCAAATAATTTAAATAATTTAAATAATTTAAACCATCCAGCGCGATTTGAATTATTTAAATTATTTAAATCATTTAAATTATTTAAATTATTTAAATATGCTGGCAGGCGGCTCGGCTGACAGACACGTCTACGCTATTTAAATTATTTAAATTATTTCCGCTGGTGCGACGTTCAGATAATTTAAATATTTCAAATCGTGATGGTCGGTCAGCTTGCTGGGCCGCGTCCCAGCATATTTAAATAATTCAAATATTTCAAATAATTTAAATAATTTAAATAGTTCAAATTATCTCGCGCGATTTAAATAGTATATTATTTAAATTATTTAAATTATTTAAATTATTTACATTATTTAAATTATTTAAATATGCTGCAGGCGACTCGGCTGACAGACACGCCTATTGTATTTAAATTATTTAAATTATTTTCGACGAGGCGATATTCAAATAATTGAATTAATTCAAATCGTGGTGGTCAGTCAGCTTGCTGGGCCGCCTCCCAGCATATTTAAATAATTTTAATAATTCAACTAATTTAAATAATTTAAATAATTTAAATCATCACGCGCGATTTAAATTATTTAAATTATTTAAATTATTTAAATTATTTAAATATGCTGGCAGGTGGCTCGGCTGACAGACACGCCTACGCTATTCAAATTATTCAAATTATTTGCTGAAGCAGAGTCCAAGGGACGCATAGAGCCTATTTCTCCCTCAATCATATATATATATATCCTCCTCCTCCTCCTCCTCCTCCTCCTCCTCCTCCTCCTCCTCCTCCTCCTCCTCCTCCTCCTCCTCCTCCTCCTCCTCCTCCTCCTCCTCCTCCTCCTCCCCCTCCTCTGAAACCCTGGCTCGCCGCCTGCACGCAGCGCTGCCCACAGTACAGCTTCCATCGGATCTCGACGATCGCTGGCGGACACTCGCCACAGCACTATCCAAGAAAGCCCCAGCGATCCGCTGGGCAGTTTACAAAACACTGGCGGGAGCATGGTGGACAAGCCACCGCTTCCCATTCGGCCCGCGCAGGAGCTGCCTGCTCGGATGCGGCGGCTGCCCAGACCGTCTCGGCCACTACTTCTCCTGCCCCCGCTTCCTGCACTTCCTTGCCCTGCCCCGTGCCTTCCTCTCGCCCGACCCCCTTGCCCGCATCGGCCTTGGGACAAGTGGGCAGCACGACATCCCTGAGCACTCACTAGCCAAGTCCATTCATCGGACCGCCCTTCCATTTCATTTTTACAACAAGCTGCGAGCTTGTGAACACACCGCGCATGGCGCCGCGCTTAAATACACTGCAGGCACAGAGTGCCTGGCCACAGCACTGCATGCCCTGAGGCCATAGACGCCTGAGGGACTGAAGGAAAGTACGGTCGCTCCTCCTCCTCCTCCTCTTCCTGCTCCTCCTTCTGCCCATCCTCCGTCCTCCTCCCTCTCCTCCTCCTCCCCTCCTTTTCCTTCTCCTCCTGTTCCTCCTCCTTCTCTTCCTTCTCCTCCTCGTGTCCTTCCTTTCTCCTTATCTTTTTTTCCGTATCATTATACTCATCCGTCCTTATATGTTCTCCTTATCCCTCTCGCTCCCCATCATTATTGTTATCTGGATCAGCATCCGTATCCTTATCCCGCCTTCACCTTTATCACCATCATCATCACTGTATGACCTGTTGCACTCCGTACATCCCCCTCTTCACTACACGTTGCCCCCCTCGTCCATGGACCCGTCTGAGTTTTCAAAACCACGCAATCTTCCGTAATCCCGAGTACGCCCTGAAACCTTCTCTTCCCTCCGCCTCTTTCCTCCTAGAAGCGGGCGACCATGTATGTTTATGTAAGGCCAGGCTGCCAACATGCTTGGATCGGAGTGCTCACTCGAGGGGACCACGCGCAAGTGGTAAAGCGCCTGTGTCCGTGTAGGCGCCACTGAGTCGCACCAGCTGTGGAAAGAAAGCGCGGCGAAGGGGGGCGGGTGGATCCGCACCAGAGACTGATGCAACTCAGCACGAATCATCCGTTCACATCGGCGAGAGCCCTCTTCCGTCCTCCTCCTCCTCCTCCTCCTCCTCCTCCTCCTCCTCCTCCTACTACTACTACTACTACTACTACGACGACGACGACGACGACGACGACGACGACGACGACGACGACGACGACGACGACGACGACTACTACTACTAACTACTAACTACTACGACTACTACGACTACTAACTACTACGACTACTACTACTACGACTACTACTACGACTACTACTACTACTACTACTACTACTACTACTACTACTACTACTACTATTACTACTACTACTACTACTACTACTGCTGCTGCTACTACTACTACTACTACTACTACTACTAACTACTACTATACTACTACTACTACTACTACTACTACTACTACTACTACTACTACTACTACTACGACTACGACGACGACGACGACGACGACGACTACTACTACTACTACTACTACTACTACTATTATTCCTACTCCTACGCCTACTCCTACTCCTACTCCTTCTCCTTCTCCTACTCCTACTCCTCCTCCTACTCCTACTCCTACTCCTCCTCCTCAGCACTCATCCTCCCCATCTCCCTCCTCCCTCCAGCCCTCCGCCCTCTCTCCTCCCCTCCTTCAGGCTCCCTCCCTCGCCCTCCCCCCTCCCTCCCCTGCTCCCTCCCTCCCTCCCTCTCCTTGTCCTTCCCTCCCTCTCCCTCATCATCCTCTCTCTCTCTCTCTCTCTCTCCCCCTCCCCCCCTCCCGAGGGGACGGGCCCGCCCGACCCCGACTGCGAGGCCAATATTATTTTTGTTTCTCTCTCTCTCTCTCTCTCTCGCGCGCGCTCTCCCCGCGCCGGTGTCGAGGGGCCGAGGGGCGCGCGGCGGCAGGGCTCCCCATCGTTTTGCCCCCCCCCCCCCCTCCCCCCCTTTCGTCCTCCCCCTCCCCCCCCTCCCCTCCTCCTTGTCCTCATCCTCCCCTCCTCCTCATCCTTGTCCTCCTCCTCCTCCTTCTCCTCCTCCTCCTCTTCCTCCTTGTCCTCTCCCTCCTCCTGCTCTTCCTCCTCCTGCTCCTCCTCCTCCTCCGCCTCCTCCTGCTCCTCCTCCCCTTCCTCCGCCTCCTCCTCCCCCTCCCCACTCATCCCTTATCTTGATGAATCGTTCATCCCTGCAGGACGTGCCGATAGGGCGGGCCGGGCGTTTCACAAGGGACTCTCATCACTTGTGATTTTGGTGTTTAAAATTCGCAGCAGCTTCTAGGATGGAGGGGTGGTGGTTTTCAATATGCGATTTGCGCTTAATATCCGCGCCCATTCGTTTCAGAAGTGTGCAACAGCTTCAAGGATGGAGGACGGTTCCATTTTAAGTGGTGTTCGCCGTAACGCCGCGCAAATTCGTTTTACACGTGTATAACAGTTTCAAGGATGGGGGGGCGGTTCCCTTGTCAGAATTTGGCTCTCGCCGTAGCGCAGCGCACATTCGTTTCGAATGTCTGCAGCAGCTTCAAGGATGGAAGGCGGTTTCTTTTGAAACGATGACTCGCAATAACGCTGAGCGCATTCATTTTCACAGCTTACAGCCGTTTCAA